ACCCTTTAGAACACAGGCATAGGCAAGGACTTCATGACTAAAACACCAAAAGCACTGGCAACAAAAGCCAAAATAGACAAATGGGACCTAATTAAACTCCAGAGCTTCTGCACAACAAAAGAAACAATATTAGAGTGGATCAGCAACCAACAGAATGGGAAAAAATTTTTGCAATCTACCCATATGACAAAGGACTAATATCCAGAATCTACAAATAAATAGAAAAGTTTACAAGAAAAAAAAAATAAATCCATTCAAAAGTTGGTGAAGGATATGGACAGACACTTTTCAAAAGAAGACATATATGAAGCCAACAAACATATGAAAAAATGCTCATCATCACTGGTCATTAGAGAAATATAAATCAAAACCACACTGAGATACCATCTCACACCAGTTAGAATGGCGATCATTAAAAAATCTGTAGACAATAGATGCTGGAGAGGATGTGGAGAAATAGGAACACTTTTACACTGTTGGTGGGAGTGTAAATTAGTTCAACCATTGTGGAAGACAGTGTGGCGATTCCTCAAGGACCTAGAAATAGAAATTCCATTTGACCCAGCAATCCCATTACTGGGTATATATCCTAAGGATTATAAATCATTCTATCATAAAGACACATGCACACATATGTTAACTGCGGCACTGTTTGCAATAGCAAAGACTCGGAACCAACCCAAATGCCCATCGATGACAGAGTGGACAAGGAAAATGTGGCAAATATACACCATGGATTACTATGCAGCCATGAAAAATGATGAGTTTGTGTCCTCTGTAGGGACATAGATGAATCTGGAAACCATCATTCTCAGCAAACTGTCACAAGACCAGAAAATCAAACACCTCATGTTCTCACTCATAGGTGGGTGTTGAACAATGAGAACATATGGACACAGGGAGGAGGGCATCACACAGAGCTCTGTTGGGGGGCAATAGGGGATGGACAGTGGGGGGTAGGGAGGTTGGGGAGGGATAACATGGGAAGAACTGTCAGATATAGGTGATGGGGGGGATGGAGGCAGCAAACCGCATTGCTATGTATGTACCTATGCAACAATCCTGCATGTTAGGCACATGTACCCCAGAACCTAAAGTGCAATATATATGTATACTTTTATATACATATATATATATATATGTGTGTATATATATATGTGTATATATATATATATCTCATATATATATGAAATATATATATACATATATATATCTCATTGTGATATACATTATATATATATATATACACATAACGTATATCACTTTCCACAGTAATTTTCTAAAAAGTATTCTGTAAAAACCTAAAAAGTTGCACACACATTGAAAAAATACTTTCTAAACAGTAATTCCAAGTGTCCATGGTACCTAACCAAAAAAAAAATGATTAGTGACATAACAACGAACTTGGTACATTATGTCAGGTATTTTGTGAACTTACTGAATCTACAATAACTCTTGGAGCAATGTTCGTTTGCTCCATTTTTGAAAATAAGAAAACTACAGTTTTAAAAGATGAATAAACCTGCCTGATACTACCAAACTAGTTTTGAATTTATACTCCTGCCATCTATTTTCAAAGCTTTTGTTTGATGTTTTCTACTGTGTTGCCACAAATACACCAGAAACACTTATCTTGGTTATTGCCAGGAAAATAACTGAAGAAATGTATTGTCTTCGTGAGATCTGGGTCAGAACCTATTCGAATCTCCTTACTGTTAGAATTTTTGTAACAGCAGATTACTCTTTTCAGTGATTCTAGATGATCAAAGCTAGTGAGGGCTGTAGGGTCCAGCCCTACAGGGTCCTGTGAGCCCTTCTCTACTGGTGCAGAGAGGAGAAACTGTGGAAATAAAGACACAAGACACCAAGATCAAGAGAAAAAGAGTCTGAGCCCTGGGGTCCACTGCCAACCAAAGCACGGAGTCAGGCAGTGACCCCGAGTGCCTGGACACTCTGACTTTTATTGAGTACAAGACAGGGGGAAGGGTGACTCTTCCCCAGTCACGTGTCTAAGGAAGGAGGTGGGGGGCTGGCGGTCAAGGCTTTCAAGTAGCTGCAAAGGAGCAAGTAGTGAAAGCAGGGGAAAGAAATGCGTTAGCACTTTATGTTCTGCTTGTCAAAGGCTTCAAGAATTATGCTACTTTTTACTGACAAAAGAGGAATCAGATGCAGAGGTAGGGAGTGAAACGAGACACAGATTGTGACCAATATACCACACAGAGACAATTAAGCCCCAGGTAACTGTGGGTTGGGCTGAGTGATATCAGTCCTTAAACAACAGCGTTCTGGGAGTAAAGTGTTCTCCAAATCCTCCGGGGAAGAAGATGTCTCCTTCCATGGTTTGCTAAGCAGCAGGTGCTTTCCCAGCACTGGCGCTACAGCAGAACCCAAGGTGCCTTGTAGCAGCCCTTACACAGGTGTGACAGAGGGCTAATGATCTTGTCTAGAGTCACTTTTTACAATGTTCTTTCAGTTCCAAGCTTCTTATCCTAAAGTTCCTTAATTATAAAAAAGAATATATTAAAGATAAATGATTTCACTAGGCTAAATATTTGGTTATAATGCTTAACTCTATTCTAAATCTTTTCTGTGCTATTTTTTAAATTGGGACTGGCTAGGGTCTCAGTCCCTTGCTTTGGCACTTGTGCGACCTCCCACCCAAGAGGGCAAAGAATACAAATCTCTCCTCATAATTTTGATTTTCCCAGATAAGGTCCTCAATAGTTGCACAATGATGCCATTTCTATGCTTCTTCTTTTAATTTTAAATGACAAATAAAAATTGCATGTATTTATGGTACATAACATGATGTTTTGATAGATGTATTAGTCCATTTTCATACTGCTATGAAGAAATACCTGAGACCGGGTAATTTATAAAGAAAAGCAGATTTAATGAATTCACAGTTCCACATAACTGGGGAGGCCTCACAATTATGGCAGATGTCCAAGGAGGAATAAGATTTGCCAGGTACAGTGGTTCATGCCTATAATCCCAGCACTTTGGGAGGCCAAGGTGGGTGGATCACCTGAGGTCATGAGTTCAAGACCACCCTGACTATCATGAAGAAACCCTGTCTCTATTTAAAATACAAAATTAGCTGGGTGTGGTGGCACATGCCTGTAGTCCCAGCTACTTGGGAGGCTGAGGCAGGAAGAATGGCTTGAACCCAGGAGGCGGAGGTTGCAGTGAGCCAAGATCATGCCATTGCACTCCAGCCTGGGCAACAAGAGCAAAACTCTACCACAAAAAAAAAAAAAAAAAAAAAAAAGTAGCAAGATGAGATTTGGGTGGGGACACAGCCAAACCGTATCATTCTGCCTCAGCCCCTTCCAAATCTCATGTCCTCACGTTTTAAAACCAATCATGCCTTCCGAAAAATCCCCCAAAGTCTTAACTCATTTCAGCATTAACTCAAAGGTCCATAGTCCAAAGTTTCATCTGAGACAAGGCAAGCCCCTTCTGCCTATGAGCCTGTAAAACCAAAAGCAAGTTAGTTACTTCCTAGATACAAAGGGGGTACATGCACTGGTAAATACACCCATTCCAACTGGAAGAAATTGGCTAAAACAAAGGGCTACAGGCTCCATGCAAGTATGAATCCAATAGGTTAGTCAATAAACCTGAAGTTCTAAAACGAGGTCCTTTGACTCCATGTCTCAAAACCAGGTCACACTGATACAAGAGGTGGGATCCCATGGCCTTGGGCAGCTCTGCCCCTGCGGCTTTGCAGGGTACAGGCTCCCTCTCAGCTGCTTTTACAAGCTGGTATTGAGTGTCTGTGGATTTTCTAGGTGCATGGTTGAATATGTTGATGGAGCTACCATTCTGGGGTCCGGAGGACAGTGGTCCTCTTCTCACAGCTCCACTAGGGAGTGCTCCAATGGAGACTTTGTGTGGGGGCTCCAACCCCACATTTCCCTTTTGCACTGTCCTAGCAGAGCTTCTCCATGAGGGCTCCAGCCCTGCAGCAAACTTCTACCTGGACATTCAGGAGTTTCCATACATCTTCTGAAATCTGGGTGGAAGTTCCCAAACCTTCATTCTTGACTTCTGTGCACCTGCAGGCTCAACAATATGTGAAAGCTGCCAAAGCTTGGGGTTTTTACCCTCTGAAGCCATGGCCCAAGATGTACTTTGGCCCCTTTTAGCTATGGCTGGAGCAGGTGTGATGCAGGGCACCAAGTCTCTAGGCTGCACACAGCAGGAGGGTCCTGAGCCTGACCCAGGAAACGATTTTTCCTCCTAGGTCTCCAGTCCTGTGATGGGAGGAGCTGCTAGGAAGGTCTCTGACATGCCCTGGAGATATTTTCCCCATTGTCTTGGCAATTAACATTTGGCTACTTGTTACTTATGCAACTTTCTGTAGCAGGCCTTAACTTCTCCTCAGAAAATAGGTTTTTCTTTTCTATTGCATTGTCAGGCTACAAATTTTCCACACTTTTATGCTCTATTTCCTCTTGAATCCTTTGCCTACTTAGAAATTTCCTCCACCAGATACCCTAACTCATCTCTCTGAGGTTCAAAGTACCACAGATCTCTAGAGCAGAAGCAAAATGCCAGCACTCTCTTTGCTAAAGCATAACAAGAGTCACCTTTGCTCCAGTTCCCAACAAGTTCTTCATCTCCATCTGAGACCACCTCAGCCTGGACTTTATTGACTACATCATTATACAGCATTTTGGTCAAAGCCATTCAACAAGTCTTTAGGAAATTCCAAACTTTCTTACACTTTCCTATTTTCTTCTAAGCTCTCCAAGCTGTTCCAACCTCTGCTCGTTACCTAGTTCCAAAGTCACTTCCACATTTTCAGGTATTCTACCAGCGCCCCACAACCTGTCACCAAGTTACTGTATTAGTCCATTTTCATACTCCTATGAAGAAATACCTGAGACTCAGTAATTTATAAAGAAAAGGAGGTTTAATGGACCCACAGTTACACATGGCTGGGAGGCCTCACAATCATGGTGGGCAGTGAAGGAGGAGCAAAGGAACATGTTACAAGGCAGCAGGCAAGAGAGTGTGTGCAGGGAAACTGCCCTTTTAATGAAACCACCAGTTCTCATGAAACTTACTCATTATCACAGAACAGCATGTGAAAAACACACTCCCATGATTCAACTGCCTCCCACCAGGTCCCTCATATGACATGTAGGGATTATGGGAGCTACAATTTAAGATTTGGATGGGTACATATCCAAACCATATCATGCATACATTGTGGAATGGCTAAGGAAAGCTAATTATACATAAAAGACCCACATATCCCTTTCACCTTACTGGTTAATGGCTTTCCTACTCAGCAAATATTTCATAGCAGCTTTTACATCTTTATTTCTCAAGCTATAGATTATGGGATTTAACATGGGGGTCACAACACCATAAAACATGGAAACAAGCCCCTCCGTAGCTTGCAAGTTGTCTTTCCCAAGGAGGTCTTGGGACTTAGGTTTTGCATACATAAAGAAGATGGTACCGTAAAATATGATCACCACAGTCAGGTGAGCTGAACAGGTAGAAAATGCCTTGTGTCTTCCTGTGGCTGACTTCATTCTCAAGATGGTATAGAGGATAAACATATAGGAGAAAATAATGACCAACAGAGGAAGAACTAGGAAAGCAATATTTGACACTGCTAGGGTAACAATATTGAGGGATATATCAGCACAAGCTAGCTTGAGGACAGCTAAGATCTCACATAAGAAATGATTAATAATATTGTTCCCACAGAAAGGCAGTTGCATGGCAAGTGATGTTTGCACGATTGAATTGATTCCACCAGAGAGCCATGATATAGAAGCCATCAGTACATATGCCACTTTGCTCATGACGATGGGGTATCTCAGCGGGTTACAGATGGCCACATAACGATCAAATGCCATCATGCCAAGAAGCAAACATTCTGTTGACCCCATTGCAAACCCAAAGAACATCTGCACTGCACATCCAGAAAAGGAAATGTTTCTTTTCTTTGAGATTAAGCTCACCAATGTTGAGGGAATGGAGGAGGATGTATAGCAGATATCCAGGAAAGAGAGGTTGCCCAGAAAGAAGTACATGGGTGTGTGAAGACGAGAATCAAAGATGCTTGCTATGATGAGAACACCGTTGCCAATGAGAATTACTACATACATAACTAGAATCAGAGCAAAGAACATGATCTCAAGTTTGGGGTAACCAGAGAGTCCCAGAAGAATGAATTCTCTCACAAATGTTTGGTTTCTCTTGTCCATGTCCCAGCTTTCAGGATGTCAAAGTTAGACTCAATACATAATATTTCACAACCAAGCAACAAATGTAACAAATAACTTGAATAAACATTACTCTAGAATGAAAAAGAAACTGTTTGTTTTAAAGCTCTACCATTCAGTTATCTTCAATAGTATTTGTGCCTAGAATACAATCACACTAGGATGCTAAGAGTTTCTATGCCCTGTATCTGATATGTGAAGACCTACATAGGATCAGAAGTAAGTTCAGACACAACTTTTCTTACTGTTGAGGACATTGAGTTGAGTTTTCTAAAAGCGTTATACTATTGCAGATGACAAACCTAACTTCTTCATTTAGTCAAGCCCAGTGAGAGAGCTCCAAAGAAGGAAAAAGACAACTTAAGCAAAACTGGAATTTTGACCCAGTGTTTAATAAAAATGTTTAGAATTTAAAAGCAGGTTTGATGTTCATGTACATTTGTTTGTTTGCCTAAAACTCTGAATGTCCTTCCAGTCAGTTAAATGTGTATTTTTATAGGGAAGACATTTGATAATAGTAAATTAAACCCCATATACTGTGATTTAACATCTTTTCAAAGGTTAAGTTAGTTGTTGATCTCATTCTAACATCCCACTCTTACTATTTTGTTATTTCCTATTACAAGACCACTGTGTAAATCAGCTCTGCAGGTATATGATGGAGAATCTTTGGAGAACAATACATGATCTCTATTTGTTTTAGTCCATGGCTTCAGAGTTACTCCTGAGAATTTGTTTGTTTGAGTAAACCTGAAAAAAGAGTAGTAACGTCAAACACATTTGTGTGTATGTGTGTGTATAGCACTTTACAAAAAGCAGATGAATCTTCTCATTATCCCTAATTTATTTTTCTCAAATGGAAAAGACAGAATGTGGCCTATAAGTAAAAAGAGAACCTTAATGCTCAGCTTTTTTGATTACAACACCAAAAGTTATTTTACCTTGTTTTCACAAAATACTATCCAAAATTTTTAGCTTTGATGGAATTTCAATTTTTCTAATTTCATATGCATATAAATCACCTGAGGATACTGTTAACTTGTAAATTTTATGTTAGCACTTCTGGGATAAGGCGTGTGATTCTTCATTTCTATTAAGTTTCCAGGTTATGTTGAACCACTGGGAAGAGGCACATTTTGAGTAGCAAGACATTGGTTTATCTATAGTGAGTTAGTAAAGAATCCAGATATTTCTGATCCAAATAGACTTTCTTTTGTGTTATAATATGGACTGGCTTAGCAACCTGGAAAATGACCGAGAGTCTAATTCTTTTGTGTTTGCCAGAAAACTTCAGGGCCACATCTCACTGTTCAGTACACTTCAAAAAATAAACACTATTGAAACATTTTATGAAAGCAGGATGAACTTTTGCTGGACTACTATAATATGTGTATGATATTACTGATTGCCTAGCTTAAGAATGGTCCTATTCCAACACAAGTAAGGGTGGGAAAAGTATGACACAGCATGTCTGCCATCAATAAGTTCATAATTCAATAACACAAATACATATAGAACAATTTGATAAAGAGTATAATTGTATCATGTGGCCAGGGTAAATATTATAAGTAACTTCAGGAGGAGGAGGTAAATAAGAAATAAGTAAGTCAAGAGAGAATGCTGAAAGAATTTCAAACTTATACCAGATATGGAAGCACAGAAGGAATGGGGTAGGTTTGGAAGAGAGGAGAGAAACAAAGGTATTTCAGAAGGGAGGGCAGCTTAATGTTTTAGAGGAGCAGATTGGCAATACCTATGTTTCAGATAGGGGAGTTTCAGTGGAAACACTGAAAAATTAATCAGGCAGGAATATAGAAGGGCCCAAAGGTTAGGAAGAAAAGCAATTACATTCCCTTTTGTATGTAAGGGACCTATTATCAGAACACCAGGGGCAAAGCGACTGTTTAGCCCCTGTGACTTTAGCTACCTTTCAAACCTGACATTATATAATTTGATTTTATGAGGTTTTGAATAGATATGTGACACAAGGAATTAAGATGCTTAATTAGGTAAATATAAATTACTGCCTGGTACACACACACACACCATCATCATCATCATCATCATCATCTTTTCATAACTACCATTTTTTTAGATTAAACAAAATGGCAGGTTTAGGGCTCACATGGGCTAACAGTTCTGAGAATATCTGCAGAGGTTCAACCCCTACCCTAACACTCAGTTTGGTATGTGATGATAAGTGAAAAAATTTCTCTACAGAATACAATGTCTTAGAGTCAGAAGCCAAACCAGACAGGATTCTCACTTTGGAAACAGTTTAAAGAATACCAGTAGAACATCTGAACTTTTAAGAGAAGCACAAATGAATGTTGAATCCCCAAATTAGAGATGAGAAAATTGAGCCTCAAAGAAATTTTGAATTTATATTTACTCAGCTTAAGACTAGAAATACCTATTAAAAATGATTTTCGTTTATTTAAGTGAAAAAAAATCACTTAAATGACTTCTGTCGCAGACTCCTATGTGCCAGATCCTGTGTTTGAAATTAGCAAACCTGATAAAAACAAGCAATGAGGAAAGGGTTCCCTGTTTAATAAATGATGTTGGCAAAACGGGCTAGCCACCTGCAAAAAGCAGAAACTGGATCCCTTCCTGACACTTTACACTAAAATTAACTCCAGATGGATTAAAGACTTAAACATAAGACCTAACACCATAAAAACACTAGAAGAAAACCTAGGCAATACCATTCAGGACACAGGCACAGGCAAGGACTTCATGACTTAAACACCAAAAGCACTGGCAACAAAAGCCAAAATGGACAAATGAGACCTAATTAAATTCCAGAGCTTCTGTACAGCAGAAGAAACAATCATTAGAGTGAACTGGCAACCAACAGAATGGGGAAACATTCTTGTCATCTACCCATCTGACACAGGGCTAATATCCAGAATCTACAAAGAAATAAAACAGTTTATAAGAAAAAAACAAATCCATTCAAAAGTGGGTGAAGGATATGAACAGACACTTTTTAAAAGAAGACATTTATGAGGCCAACAAACATAGGAAAAAATGCTTATCATCACTGGTCATTAAAGAAATGCAAATCAAAACCACTTTGAGATACCATCTCATGCCAGTTAGAACCGCAATCATTAAAAAATCTGGAGACAACAGATGCTGGAGAGGATGTGGAGAAATAGGAACACTTTTACACTGTTGGTGGGAGTGTAAATTAGTTCAACCATTGTGGAAGACAGTATGGCGATTCCTCAAGGACCTAGAAATAGAAATTCCATTTGACCCAGCAATCCCATGACTGGGTATATATCCAAAGGATTATAAATCATTCTATTATAAGGACACATGCACATATATGTTCACTGTGGCACTGTTTACAATAGCAAAGACCTGGAACCAACGCAAATGCCCATTGATGATAGACTGGACAAGGAAAATGTGGCACATAAACACCATGGAATACTATGCAGCCATAAAAAACGATAAGTTCGTGTCCTTTGTGGGTACATGGATAAATCTGGAAACCATCATTCTCAGCAAACTGAAATAAAAACAGAAAATCAAACACTGCATGTTCTCACTCATAGGCAGTGTTGAACAATGAGAACACATGGACACAGGGAGGGGAGCATCACACACTGAGGTCTTTTGGAGGGCAATAGGGGAGGGACAGTGAGTGGGTAGGGAGGTTGGGGAGGGATAACATGGGGAGAAACACCAGATATAGGTGAGGGGGATGGAGGCAGCAAACCACATTGCCATGTATGTACCTATGCAACAATCCTGCATATTCTGTACATGTTCCCCAGAACCTAAAGTGCAATAAAATATATATATTTTTAAAAATTAGCTTACCTGGCTGAGGTCAGATGACTATCACTGGCAAAAGAAAAATCCAAAGACCATTCTCCTTCTACTACTTCTCTGCCTAACAGGTAGTATTAAAATCTGTATAGAAATCATTTGTCAACCACAGAGAACAGTCAGTAAGTAACACAAATAATAAACTGAGTTCATAAAGGTGAAACTTAAGTATAGTCAGTTAAAAATGTACAAGGAGAATGATTAATTCTTGAGGACTTAGTACTTCTTATCATGGAGGAAGGTTCATGGTTGTGGGATTGAAACATCCATCTTAGAACAGTCCATTTGCTTTAAAATTTTTCTACAGTACTTCTTAGCATAGGTCCAAATTCTCCTCAAGCAGGCTACAGAAATCCTTTGAGGATGCATTGGATAAGGGACATCAACACTCTAGCAGCCCAATCAGGAAAGCAAAAGGAGGAAGACAGAAAGATACTGACTGGCCAGGAAAGGGGGTGATGTTCCAGATCCCACCTAGACCTCCAGCCCAGGCGTGGAGAATCTGTTGGCTTTGCCTTCCAGACAAATGTAAAGACAATGAATTTTAGGCTACCTAGACAGTCTTCTGCTCTAAGCCTTCCCCTCCTAGGAAGAAATGGTCTCACCAATTCAATCCACCTTAAGCCAAGCCTGTCTTAGCTACCTTTGTTTTTCTTCTGATCCCAGCTCTTTAGCTTGGTTCCCTCATGTACTGCGAGATAACATGAGATGTGGGGAAGGAGCTTGCCTGTCTTGCACATCCCTCTACACCTATGGCCTAACACAGTGGCAGCACATAAAAGATGGGTTTTTCTAGGCTCTTAAGCGATTTCCCTGTGTAGTATTTACAGATTAATGTTCAGAACTTTAATATACACAATGTGTTTATTTGCAGCAAGCCTACTGTTATATATATATATATATATATATATATATATATATCTTTATATATATATATATATATATATATATATCTTTCTGTCAATACTAATAAGCTGCCATCTTATAGAAAGATTAACTGGTTCACGCACTGCAAGTATAAAGACATCACCTAATTCTCACTTGAACAGATATGGCATGGGGTTAGCCTAGTTGAAAAATGCTGGGAATTCAGAAACAAAAGTCTTAGTTCTGAGGTTATTTTTTCATCTAATATGTAGCTTGTTTTTCATTTGCTAAATAGTTACAGAAATACCTACCCTACTTTTCTCACAGGTTTGTTTTGAGAAAAAAATTGAGCTAGCATATGGAAATTGCTTTATTGGATTAAC